AAGCCTGCCAATATTACCTTGTTGTCATCTTAATCCACTATGGAAACGCATTAATGAGTAACACCAAGTCAGCCTCCCCCAAGCACCACCTTGGGCTAAAGCACGGGGTAGTTGCACAAGTCATGTCTGCTTGTTGACAAGCAGCATTCTCTGGCTGCCTTTGATGATCGAGCCAATATTTCTGACATTATTTCTTGACTCGAGACTACAGATGTCCCAACATGATTTCCTTCCCAGAGTGGAAAGAAGACTGGGATGGCAGATGGCCAGCCGGGATTCCCAAAATGCCTGATGCTGTCCTGTGGCTGCAAAAATGCAGGCACACTAGCCAGAACAGACTTTCAAAAGCCATTTCTACAAATGTACTACCAAGCCTTTTGGCAACCTTTGGAGTACAAGGTCTTTCATTCATTCCTTCTATATATAAATTTAAAAAATATGAGTATAGAATTTGGAAGTCCCTGGAAGTCCCTGAGTTAAACACATAGCCACCCCGCTGCTGAGCAAGAGGCTCAAGAGAGGCATATTTCTGCGGGCTTTTCCAGTGTGGAAGGTAAATTCACCAAAGGCCCTACACTGTGCAGAAAGAGGGGCTCTGCTCATCTGCCTGTATCATTTAAGAGATGATCCTAGTATGGTGAAGGGTAGGAAAGGCCTTTCCATTAAGTCACTAGTGACTTTAAAACCGAGTTTTGTTTTGCAAACACCATTATCTCTCTTTCTTCCTCCTTCTCCCTGCTTCCCAAATCCTGTCTCCCCTGTGGTTCATACAGAGCTACAGCTCCCTAAGCTTTCACCTGTCTCAGTGCAGGGTGTTACTTGCATCAAAACAGATTTGCAACCCCATACACACCAGGGGAAGATGGAGACTCGGGGGAAGGGAAGGCAGGAGAAACATATCACAAGGGTTTGAAACAACAGCAAGAAGAATGAGGTGAAACCCCACCTGAAAAGGGTTCCTTCACTTAAATCACTTGCGGCTCAGTGCCTTCCATGTAGACAGCAAGCTGCTGGAGGGCAGGAACCACAGCTGCTGCCTCCTTGAATCTATCCCCACAACCAGGCCCATATTCTTAGCCCTGTGCTTTATTTACTACTTTCCACACAGTAAGAGCTAAAGAAAGTGTAATAGTTTGAGTGAAACAAATAAATGTCTCCTGTGACACACAAGTGGTCATTCCTGAGTATCCTGATCGCTTGTTAAAAACATACATTTCCCCAAACTGGTGAATCCAATTGACAGAGAGGAGCCTGTGAATCTGTACTTCCACTAGCCTGACAGCTGATTCGTAGCAGTTTGGGAAATGCTGGGAGAACTACCCTCTGTAGTCTGAACAACCAGGGGCAAATTCCAGTTTGGGAACTTCTTGTCTGTCTAACTCGGAGCATCGTTGATTGGCTGCCTCTGCATGCTCCCCATTGGGGATTGACCCTGCAACCTGGGCATGTGCCCTGACCGGGAATCGAACCATGACCTCCTGGTTCATAGGTCGACCACTGAGTCACGCTGGCCGGGCTTGGCTAACTGGAATCTCAGTTTTCTCATCTGCAAAATGAGAATAATGATGTCTATTTTGTAACATCATTAAAAAGATTTTAAAACCAATTTCAAGAGAATAACAAAGGTCCTGATGTGTAGTGGGTTTTTTCTAAAGGTCCGTTCTCTTTTATCCAGCAAACACTAGGGAACTACTGAAAGCTTCTGAGCAGATCATGTCCAGATTGTTGCCTTACCTTCAAGTCCCTCTGGGACACCCAGGCAAATGGCTGCCTAGCCTATTCCACAACACCTCCAGTGACAAAAGATCAAACTTACTATCTCTGGAAGCAGACCATTCATTTGCAGACAACTTTAATCATTAGCAATTTATTCCTCTTGTTGAGCTGAGATCTGCCTTGGGTGACAGAACAAATTTAATTCCTTTTCCACATGATAGGCTGATGCAATTAACTTAGATAAGATAAGTGAGGAGTAGTGGGGTGGGAGGGTCCATTTTGAACACCCTGCACTGGGAGGGCCGGTTCAGGCCTATGTCCGGCAAGTAGTTGCTATGCATGTCTGCAGTTCAGTAAAGAGATCCAGGGCATCACTTACACAATGACATGATTTGAAGTTGTGAAATACTTTGTAATACTTTAAGTAATAAAACAAAATTTTTTTAAAAAAGAAAGTAAATGACATTGCCATTTAGGGGCAGAGGTAATAAACAGGATTGAGGAATGCTCAGCGAGGTAGGAAGAGAGCCTTTAAAGAAAAAAAACAGCCCTAACCGGTTTGGCTCAGTGGATAGAGCGTCGGCCTGCAGACTCAAGGGTCCCAGGTTTGATTCCAGTCAAGGGCATGTACCTTGGTTGTGGGCACATACCTAGTAGGGAGTGTGCAGGAGGCGGCTGATCGATGTTTCTCCTCATCAATGTTTCTAACTCTATCCCTCTCCCTTCCTCTCTGTAAAAAAATCGATAAAATATATTTAAAAAAGAAAAAAACAAACAAGTAACCCATGGAAACAAATGTGGTGAAGAAGAAGAAGAAGGCAGAGGATCAGTAAACCAGTCATTGAATTTGACAACTAAGAGGTCACCACTGCTTCCTGGCAGACCTGGGCATCTGCTCCACTGGAGCTGCCGGGATCACAACATCAAACTGAAAAGCAGATGCACACTTCCCCTCCTACTGAAAGAGAGGTAATTTGGAGAAATAGCAGCAGCAAGGACAGATGACTCTCATACTTCCCAACCTGCATGGTAAGACGGGTTTCTCCAAATAAGGCTTTCATGCTCCCTCCTATCTACTGGAGAAACTGCCTAGTAAGTCTGTCCTGGAGATTAATCACAGAGAAGAATCCTATTTTTCTTTTTAATTCTGCACTTGCTCAACTTCCTGAAACATTTTTTTTTTACATAATACTACCAACCTTTCCAGGAACTAGTGTTTCCTAACACAGAATTGGGCAAATAAATGTGGGAAACAGAAGAAGAGAGACGAGATGAGAGTTTAAGGGACAACTGCTATCAAGGGAATGTTTTTCTTTTCTTTTAAGAATGGATGAAAGTTGAATATGTTTACATGTGGAAGAAAGGTAACCAAGTGTAGAGTGAAAGGCTCAAAACAAGCACAAAAGGAATAGAGCAAGCCTGGCTCCAGGAGAGGGGTTAGCTTAGCGAAGGACCTCAGGTCGCTGCTTCAGCCAGGAAACATTATTTTTTAATTAAGTCTAGTGATCACAAATGTTCACTATCCTAAACCATATTTGCTTTGCTCAGATGATACAATGTTATCAAGATAAGGTTAAGGACAGATTAAATAAACTGGATAAACTGCTTAGCTAGAACCAGAGTGCATCTCCACCCTCCTCCCCAGAGTTTTCCTAGCCTGGTCCAGAGAAGAGGGCTCCAGGTCTTCCAGGTTGGGAGCTAATGCCCCACTGCTCCTGCTCAGGCAGGGCGAGCTCTAGCACCAGATAGACAGAGAGGGAAAATCTAAAAATAAAGCTCTCTGAAAAACTGTCTTGCCTAAAGAGTAGCTTCCCACGCACTCTGTAGTGCCACATCTGTGGGGGCTGAAAGCACAGAACGGAACAATCCTGACCAAGTCACGTAAGTACTACCCTTTAGCGGGGGGTGGGGGGGGCACAGTGCATTGCTGATCCTCCCCATCAGTGCCCCAGTGTCAGGAGACTGAAAAGATCACGGTGACTACTCCAGCCTTCCTGCTCTCCTCCTTTCTCAGCGGGAGGTGAGCACAGCACATGTGAAGAAAGCTGCTCCACAAGGAGTGGAATTGAGTGATTATTTTAGAAAAGAACCATGAAGGGGTTAGTGGATTTCAGGCTCAAAGTGGGGCTCCCTCTGCCCCACTCCTAGCAGTAGGGTCACAGATAAATGACCAACTGAAGAAAAAAAAATCAACTACCCTGAAAAGAGCTGCAATTAGCTTTTCTGTCAGTTGGCTATCTTCATTTCCAACCCCAAGCACAGAACAGTTGTCATGTTGCCAGGCAACTAGCATATGCAACCTCACCTCCTAACCTCCCAGCTGGTATCAGAGGCCACTAGAAAAAGTTCAACCCAAGAGGTTTATACAACCCCATATGTAAGTATTAAACACCCAGGGAGGGAGGAAGGAGGCAGCCGGCTCAGGGGAGTAATCCCACCACCTCTTTCTCTAAGGAGTTTAAGCTTGGAGATACAACATATTTGCACCAACTATTGGAGTTTTGCCAAGAAGCCCAGGCAGGAAGAAGGAAATTAATTCTACCAGGAGGCCATAGTGTTCATTTAGCAGTCCAACTCCCCAGGAGGTTTGTACTTTGACCTGACAAAGTATGACAATATGCCTTGAGGGTCAGAAGCTCAACCTTGGACAATATCTTGGAATAATTTTCAGCAGCAATACACACAAAGCTGCACATCCACCCGCCCTTCCTGGGGAATGCACACTATCATGCCCCATGTCCCATGACTCAGATACAGCAGACCAGTGCAGCAGGGAGCAAGCAAACACAATTAAAAAAAGAAAAAAAGAATGCAACAACCTGTCAGTTCCTTGGTCTCTTTCTTAAAAGAGACCCTGGACCAGAACACAGTGGTAGTTGATACGCTCAGATATAAATAAAGCCTGGGGTGTATTATGCACATGTGAAAGGGAGAAGGGATGCAAAGTTTCCCCCTCAAATCACAAATTGTAAGCAAAATACTTTGAACATACCAGTGCTATTTGAATGCTGACTAGCAACAATCACCCAATAGCCCTTTCTGATTGGAGCACACTAAAAAGTTCCCATACTGAGTCATTCATGAACAAAAAAGAAGAAGCCAAGCCAGCTCCTGACCAGGAGGAGATAGTACTAGCCAGAAAGTACACAATCTGAGCATAGAGTTGGAAGTGTTGTTGTAGTGCTGGGAGTACACACTCCCTACCCCACTAGGTAAACAAGGGCTGGGTTGGACCAGAGTCCCCTTGTGCAGCACAAGGCCTACGGCTTGGAAGTGGAACTCACCTGACATACAAGGACCTCTTCTCACTTGTTCGGAGGGACCCAGACCCAGAGCTCATGCTGCTGTTCATCATTTGTTCTCGCAAGTCATGTATCTTCGATTCAAAGCGGCTGTACTCTGTCAGGAAGACAAGGAAAAGGGCAGGAAAAGAATGAAGCCAAGGAGAGGCACTGAACCTGCACGCCCGTGGCCCGAGCCAGAGGACACTTGGCTTCATGCAGCCAGAGCCAGCCCAGTCAATCTTTGCCTGGATAGGCAGAGTCCCTCCTCCAGGCACAAAAAGGCAGACTTCTCTCCACCCTACACACTCATAGAAGGAAAGAACATACCCGGAAAAGGAGTAACATTTTGATATATCAAATGGAAAAGGCTTTTATCTGCCTTGAAATCCTTAAAAGAAAACTGGAAGGAGGTTCCAGTGTGGCTTTCATAAATCTTTAGAGCAGGCGCTAAGGCCCAAGGAGAGCAGATGGGAAAGAATTTCCCAAAAAGAGGACTGCAGAGAACAGATGGCCATGAGAGCAGGGTGGAGGGGCTGGAAAGGACCCGAGGCCATTAAATTATTGTTAGGCAAGGAAGCCGATTTGTTTCTAGGTGTCTTTTTTGAGGGGGAATACTGGAACCCTGTGCCAAAGTAAAAACAAACAAACCTCACAATCAGATAAGGAGATCACAAAGCTCCCCTGAGTTATCTCCATTTTAACAAACAGGGTCTTTGGCCTCAGTATCAATTAAACATTAAAACAAATTCTCTAGTTATTTCCCATTTAACAAACAGGGGCTTTGGCTTCAGTATCAATTAAACATTAAAACTAAATTCACTCAATTCTAGAAGTCTGCTAATACCTCCCTTCTCCAAAATCATCTAGTCAATAGGGTCATAAATACAGGCCCAGCTTGGAGGCCTGCTGACACCATCCTAACCACCTGAACCACCTTATCACTCTGTGAAAGTAACTATAGGTTTACACCAAATTTAAGAAAACCTGATTAGGAAAACTAGAGCCATTATAACTTTATTATAAAAGGCTTTTTTATAGGACTGCTTTACGTGACATTGTCCTAAGACATTTAAATTATGATACTCATTACACACACACAATTCCACAACATTTTTCAAGTCTTTAATTGCTACATGAAATGGATATAACTAAAGCACAGGCTGTGGAAATGGTAGAAAACAGGCATGCTTCATTATGACCAGCTGCATTTAAAAGAAGTAAAAATTTATTCTAGGGATTGAAGATGGGGAATTGCTCTAAAACATAAACACGTTTCCGGGGAGTGGGGGGGAAATTTCACAAAAGCATTTTCATGCACCATGGAGGGCTGGCAAGAAGCATCCCCATGTAGTCTTTGTGACTGTACTGGCAGAAAACAAAACACCTATTCCAACACCTGACACCCCACTTCCTTCAGCAAAGCAACCTGACCTTCAGCTAGGTATAAAGCAGTGGTTCTCAACCTTCCTAATGCCACGACCCTTTAATACAGTTCCTCATGTTGTGGTGACCCCCAACCATAAAATTATTTTCGTTGCTACTTCATAACTGTAATTTTGCTACTGTTATGAATCATAATGTAAATATCTGATATGCAGGATGTATTTTCAATTGTTACAAATTGAACATAATTAAAGCATAGTGATTAATCACAAAAACAATATGTAATTATATATGTGTTTTCCGGTGGTCTTAGGCGACCCTTGTGAAAGGGTCGTTCGACCCCCAAAGGGGTCGCGACCCACAGGTTGAGAACCGCTGGTATAAAGGGAAATGTTAAAAAGCCTAAAGGGGAGGGAATGGGGTTTTAACTCTCAAAGTAATCTCTTCTCAACAGTTTTTTTTTGTTCACACTGATACCAATGAAGCCAACTGCTTAGGTTCATGTGCTTTCATTCATCATGCACTGGTGTTATAGTGATTTGTCCTCATTACCTACTCCGGTCCCTGAAATCCTACAGGAAGTAGTTAAATCACTGACTCACCCATTAAATGCTGTGTGTGGGGGAGAGAAACATCAGCAAGACAATGTCCCTGTTCTGAGGGTTACCTGGTAACACATCAATTTCAATGAGGCATCCCAATCTAAAGGTAGAGGGTGGTGACTGATCTGTCATAGAAGCCCTGGACTGCCCAAGAGCGCAGCAGCAGGACTGTATACCTCTAGAGCCACCTGAGCACTGGCCCCACCCCATGGTTTGGCCCTCCATCCTGACCCTCTCTAGTTGGCTCCTTTCTGGCTGTGCTTCTCACTGATGGTCTAAGAGGAGAACCGGGTGAGACAAAGAGATTTCTGACAAGGCAGCCCTTTCTTGAGGAAGGTAAGTAAAAGGCAGAAATATGCCTTGAACCCAGAAAAAAATACACCAAACCTATCCTTAAGCCGTTTTCCCTCTCTCACAATTTGTTTATATATTCCCTT